CATGTACTTGACTTGGGCTCTGTCATGCCTATTTTACTCTCTTTTGACACAGATGTGTTGAAATGATTGACTCAGGTGGACCCTCAATCCAGGGAACCCCAGTAGAGTTGATATGTAAATTGGAGGGATTATCATCATGGTTCAATCTTGAAACAAAATGTTTTTATCAATAAAATGCTTAGCACATGTCATGCAGAAGCTGTAGTAGTAGTATTTTGTGGCTTCATTCTTACCCTACAACGTGGTTTTTGACTCCTGGCTGCAGTGGTGATGGCAGGATTATTTCTCCAATACATTAGTAGAGAATAAACGAACTTTTTGTTGAACAGTCCTTTTTCTGCTGCCTCTTGGTTGAACCTTTCCTATTTCACATTGATAATTTCATCAGTCGAAAGGTAAGCTGGTTTTAAGATTAGGAGTTGGATAGCAAAATTTGACTGGGCCTGGAGGCAGTGAGGAGGACACCACTTACATCTCCTTCTGCAGGGGACCAACTATAAAAAGGATGGCACTGGGTGGGGTATGGGGTGGGGACTCTCAAGTAGTTAATTTTGGTTACCTATCTATAGGCTTGAAAGTTAGAACGTAAAAAAGAGTTTTAGGTTTTACGGATTACTTTCCTAGCAAGAATCTTCTGAGAAAAATACAAGGTTTTATTTAGGATTCTGTAGAGACTAAAGCAAGATTGTGACATAGGTAAAATTTAGTGTTGTTTTTTTCCCTTTCCCAATATCTCTTGTCCTCATTCTTCCATTCTCTTGACAAATGTTTGTTGAGCATCTGCCTGTGTCAGGTAGTTTGTTGTTTCTAGACATGTAATGGTGAATTAAAGCAGATGCAGCTTTACTTACCCAAAGCTCATAAGCTGTTGCAATGGCGTTGAAACTTTTTTGAATGTGACCCACAGCAAGAAAGATATTTTACATCCTGACCCAGTGTATGAATACACACTCACCTGAAAAATAGTTTCAGGAAAGAAAACTTACCCTTACATGTGACATATTTTGACATTTTCACATGGAGTATCACTCTACACCTGAGCAGCTAATATTCAGCCAGTGACTCAACAGTACCCATATGGTGGTTTCTGGAGCTCTTCATTATAAGGCCTCCTTCTCTCTGGCACTTAGTCTTGCAGATTTCACCTGTGTTGGACTCCCATAATTCTGATCTCTTGCCCCAACTTAGCCAGACCTGGGTATTTTACTTGGATTCCCCCTTACTGTGCATCTATCTAGAAGGTGCTTCAAGGCCAAAAGCTGGAGTGATATAAGGCTCATCTTGTTTTTTCCCATCTTTCAGGGATCAGAGCCTTTTCTTGCTTCTTTTTCAATGTCTGAAAACATTGGTTTTATATATTTTATCTACTTTTGTAGTTGTTTATATTGGGATGATAAGACTAGAACCAGTTAATTTCACATGGTCTCTCACAAGTTTTCATTTTCCTAATACACATCGCTAAGCCTTCCCCACTCCAAAGTTATACAGATGTTCACATATGTTATCTTCTGAGTCTTTCATTTTTTTTTTTAGCATCTTGGATTCATCTGAAATTTATTTTAATGTGAAATGTGAGGTATTGATATAGTTTTATTTTTTGCAAATGGTTGGTATTTGTCTTTAGCAGTTAATTTTTTCAGATACACATATATATACGTATATATATATGTATATATACATATATATGTATATGTACACACACACACACACACGCACACACACACACACTTGGGTCTACTAATTTGGTTTGATTTTTTAAAAAAAATCCAGTACCACTCAAATGTAATTTCTCTAATTTTATAATACATTTTTATTATGTAGTTCTTCTCCCTTTCCTCCTTGCCTCCATCAACCTTTATTACTTGGTATTTATCAATTTTTTGGAATATTTTTGAAACTTTTTTTTATTCACTCATGTGAATTTTTAAAGTGTGGCAGGTGTTTATTTTGTTTTATTCAAATGTTAAGTACTTTATATTTTTAATTGTAGATCTTAGGTATCATGCCATATCAGTACATATTGATCTATATCATTCATTTTACTGGATGTATACTATTTTGTTATATGAATGTTCTACAATTCACTTAACCAATTTCCTGTAGATAGGCATATATATATTATATATATATATATTTTTTTAAGAGATGATAGACTTTAGAAGCATGTTGTCAAGTTAATCCTAAACTGATTTTGATTGGGATACCATTGAACTTTGAAATAATTTAGGGAGCAAATATCTTTATGGTATTGATTTTAGTTATGAATATTTTAAACCTTTTGATAGACATTGACGAATGACTTCCAAAAGGATTGGTCTTACACCCCCACTAGAAGTGTGTCAGAGTGCTTATTTACCCACATCCTCAGCCACATAAAAATGGTAATCATTGGTATTTTAATTTGTATTCCTTTTATTTCTGATGGAGTTAAACTTTAAAAAATATGTTTAAAGCTATTCATATTTTTGTGTTGTTTGAATACTCGTGTTCTTTGCACATTGATCATCGTTTTCTCCCCCCATTAATTCTACATTGTTCAGTATTCTTTTGGTTGCAGAAAAAAAAAAAGTTGAATTAGCTGAGCCAGCGAAGAATTTAATGGTTGGTTTAATTATTCCATGAGGTAATGATCTTATTGAGTCATGAATAGAGATATGAGCCTGATTCAGCTATGGATAGAGATGTGAGCTTAAATAATATTTTAGGAATCTCCTTCTACTCTCCCTATCCCTTCTTCATCTTTTGGTTCTGCTTTCCTTATTTTTGGCTTCATTCTTAGTAAGAATTTTCTGATGTTACAGGAAAGATGGCTCCTGGGATCTTCTAGGTTGTTCTATTAAAAGGAGAAGAGATGATTTTCATTCTAAAAATCTATATTAACTACCCTCACAGAACCTGACCTAATTGAGTCACATACCCATAGAAGGACCAACCACACTGTATGGGGTAATGGGGTATTTTTATTGGTCCACTCTGTGATTGATACCCTCATAGAATCATTCTAAGTAGAGAAGTTTTCAGAAGGAAGAGATTTAGGACAGACCAAAAAAAAAAAATCCATTGTAGTTTCTAAGAGCTCTTTATATCTTAAAGACATAAAAGGTTAAACTCCCAAGTTTCATGAGAGCAGACATTTTTGTTAGTTTTGTTCACTAGCATGTCCTAAGTACCTAGAATAGGGCTTCACAATTGGTAGGCGTTCAGTAAAAATATATTGATTAAATGAATAAGGATATTAATTTTATTTATGATCATTTTGGTGTTCAGAAGGTTGATTTCATGTAGACTAATCTATCAGTCTTTTCCTTTATGATTTTCTTTTTTTCACTTTTATCTCCAGAAACTTTTTATAGGATGGTCTTGTTATATTTTAAGCCCATTTTTTAAAGATCACAAAGACTACATTCAAATATATATTATTCACATTTTTGGTTAGATAATTCATGACTAGATCAAGAAGTATACTATGCTTTATGAGGCAGAATTTGAAACTTTATTGATTTACCTTATCAGATAAATGTAATTTAAAATCTGTTGCCACTCACTCTATCAAGAGATATTGCACAGAATATTTTTGCAAAATAATTACTTTTCAGTCTAAGTGGCCTCTTTATTAAAAATCTGTTCAGTAAATTGTATTTTTATATGCAGAAAACGTTCTGGAAATTTAAATCACACAGGCACAAAGTGTTCCTGTGGAATGGAGGAAAGCCCTAAAGATTTAAGATTCAGATCTCACTTCCTTAATTGCAGACCCTGCGAGAAGAACATGGGCACCGTGGTGGGTGGTGGTAGGAGACGCAGGAAGGATTAGAGACAGGACCAGCATGCCCTGGCCTGGCCTGCCAAGAAATGCTTGGTGTGAACTGAGCTTGAGCACTGCCACTGTCCCCAGAGCCCTGGGCTTTCTACTTGGGAATAGGCTTTCCGTGCATGTCCATGATAAATGCCCAGGCTGTTGACTCTTTGATTACTAATGCAGTCGTAATGGTGAAAAGTTTCAGAGTGTTGAAAATTACATAATTTAATGATAAGGACTGACCATATCAGAATTTCAATTTTGAAAGACCTATGTTTTCAGATTTTTAAAAAGTGTTATAATTGGCAATTCTCCAGGTCTAATCTACATCTGTTACTTATTTTCAATATTTATATTAGATGCTAATCTTTACTTTTTTATTTTTCATTTTTTAATTTTCCCATAGTGCCTAACACAGTTCACGTTTACTAATGGCCCAATAAATATTTATTTAATTAAGTTATTTTATCCGTACTGGCACATTTTGGAAGAGAAACTGAACAATGAATAATCTTCCAGTCTTTTCAGTTTATGAACATAGTTCTCTGGGGGAAATAGCCCCTTGTAATGTTAACTAAATATTATATTTCCTAAAAACAGGATTTTTACAGAAAAGAGAAACATCAACATTTTATTTTTAGCTAGTTTAATATAAAATATAAACACTCCTAAAAAAGTAACTTCGTCTTAAGCTTTTCAGTAGAAGAGTACGGTTTCATTATCTCAAAGCTAATGAACAATCATTAGAGCAATCAGTACATACTGTTTAATAGTATTCTTTTTTTTTTTTTTTTAAGGTACAGGGAAAACAATGGTGATGGACATGTTTTATGCTTATGTGGAAATGAAGAGGAAAAAACGGGTTCATTTTCATGGTTTCATGCTAGATGTTCACAAAAGTAAGTGATCAGGAAGAAGTGATTTTTTAGTGGGCAAACACTACAAAATAGTTTCCCTCATCTTTTAAAATTCTTAATATTTTAATCTTTTTAAAAATAGATTTTTGCTTAAAGTAAGATTTTGTTTGGTTTCATTTGTTTTGTGCTATATTGAAACAATTAATGTGTCCAGAGTTGGTCCTGCAGACAAATCAGTATTTCCAAATAAAAGAATAGAAGTTACTACTTGAAGGGCAGGCATTTTCTCTTTCTACTAAGGATCAGTAAGAAATGTTAAAACCTCATCTATTTCAAGAAGTTATTCTTGATTAGGTCATTTCTGCTGTATCTCCTTAGCATGTCAGCATTCAGTTTGTACTTGTATATATGCCTTATTGCTTTGTCAGTGTTCTTATGTTACATCATTTTTGCTATCAGCTACACAATAACCTCCTCAAGGAAGGAATGTTTTTTTTTCTTCTAATGTATTCAGCATTTAGAATACATATAATGAGTAAAGTGGGTATGGATTTAGTGTATTAGGATAGAGACAAGAGAACATTCTGTTTAGATATGCTAGACATAGAAGAGGCATCCCTGCCCGCATCCCTGAAAGTTAGGACTGAGATTGATTTGTTGATCCATCTAGTCACTGTCTAGTCATCTAGTCTATCTCTTTGTCATCTCTGACATGATCGAAGAATAAAGGTGGAATGACCACAAAGTATCCTTACAACCATAGAAGTATAATAACATGTGAACAACTTATTTGGGGATAGAAAAAATGCAACCAATTTCAATAATCACATTTGATTGTGGAATTTAAACTTAATTTTTACCTTTACACGAAAGTTTCATTTAGAGATTTAAAAAGTGTTATAGTTGTCTAAAATGTATTATTAATACAATGTTTGATTTTGTGTTTAATTTCATTCATTTAAGGAATACACCGCCTTAAACAGAGTTTGCCAAAAAGGAAACCAGGGTTCATGTCTAAATCATATGATCCAATAGCTCCCATAGCTGAAGAAATCAGTGAAGAAGCATGTCTCTTATGTTTTGATGAATTTCAGGTAATGCAGAGATGATTCATGGATGTAGAATGGTGTACCGAATGAACTGTGAAAATTTAAAGTCTGTTTTCAATTTTATCATTGCTTAAAAGTTGATTTGATACATTATCTCTTATGACTTTAATATTACTGTCACAGCTTGCACAAGGCAGATGTGGCCCATCTGCTTTTATATGGTCAGTGGGAAAAGAATAATTTTTATATTTTTAAAGGATCATTAAGAAAAAGAAAAAGAAAATGCAACAGAGACCATATGTGGCTTGTAAAGCCTAAAGTATTTACTATTCAGCCTTTTATAGGAAAAGTTTGCCCATCTCAATACTCTAGTCAGTGGATTCACATTCCCCCCACACTATGATGGAGATAATGTAATGATTACCTAATAATGTCTTTAAAGATTTTTCAAGTTTTTTTTTAAGTGTTATATAAAAAGCAAGTGATTCACACATCTCATTTAAGCTTCACAGCTTATCTGTGCTAAAGGGAGAGAATTGTCCTTGTTGAACTTTTATAGTTTTTTTCTAGTTTTAGGATTCTCTGCAATGTGCATTTAAATTGGTAGTAAATTATTTCCTAACCTTTATTTCTTATGAGAGCAAATGTGGCATGAAAGCTAACAGCATGTCTTATGCTTACTCTGTATCCTATGTTATGCCCAGTGTAGTAATAGTAGTGGTAGTAATAATAATAATGCTAAATGATACTCTAGATTAAAAATTACTTCTTTTTTATTTGCTTTACTTAGTAGTCTGAAATGTAATAGTTGGTTTTCTATAATGCTTATCATAAGAGCAACTGATTATTGGAATGAAAATAGAAAAATTTACAAGTACTGAATATAAGCTTAAAAATAAAGCTTCACACTAAAGCTTTTGGAAAATATTTCTGAAGCTGAGTGCAGAAACTCCTGTGTCTGATTGCCTAGAATAAAGGCCTAGAGAACTTTCAAAGGTAGAAAACTAACATTCATGTGTGTCTACTCTTTAATAGGCTTGGGTGATTCACACAACTCGTTTGATATTTGTGATGAAGTGAGAGAATTGCTCTAGTTGAATTTTAAAGTTTCTTCCAGTTTTAAGATTCTCTGAAATTATGTATTTAAAGTGGTAATGCGTTATTTCCTGGTCTTCCATGCTTAAAAACCTGGGTTAGTGGAAAATATGATGTGGTCATGATGCCTTTATCCCAAATGAGACAGCTCGACCCACATAGCTAACAATGGTTTTGATTTATGATAGATGACAAAGAGGAATTTCACCAGGAGTGGTGTTAAACTGAACCAGCTGGGGAAGAGGAATATTTACTTCTTTTCTCCCTCAGTCATAGTAAGACAGCTTGGCATTCACCTTTGTATCACAGAAGTACAAAGGTCTTCGAAAGAGAGGCCTGTGGAAAAGAGATGTTTCCCACTACTCTGAGAAGGTATACTCAGTACACCAACGTGGTAGTGCAGAAAGAGAAGGGCCTCATGTAGTTCTAAAAATAGCATCAAGTTAACCGTTGTGGTGCCTTCAACAGAAAGTCAGTGACGAATCAATAAAGAACATCTCCCTTCTTTTCTCATTATGAGTCTCTTAAATTATCTCTAAATAAAATTGAATTGGCACAGCTAAATTTTTGATTAAGTTAAACATTAAAAAGATATATTAATAACCAACCTTTGTAAAATGATTCATGGTTTACAAAGTATTTTTATGTCCTTTATTTAATCCTGTAAAATAGTTATTACTGTCTTCATCATATAGATGAGGAAAGTAAAGCATTAGAATTTCCTAAGTAGCATGTAAAAATCATTATTCTTAACTTAAAAAAATGTATATTTTAAACAGTCAGAGAAATGGTTGCCATGTCGACATGAGGACTTCTGGCAAGGCTATTTCAGAAGTTTGGGAAGCAATGAGAATCTGTCTGTACGAGGCGCCAAATTACCCATTAGGCTTGATAGTCACAGCACCTGAGGTCCATGATACTTTCAGGGATTCATGAAAATATTTTAATTTCTTATAAATTTTGAAGAAAAATGAATATATCAGCAATGAATCCAGGTTGTATATGTATCTATATTATACTTGTTTTATACCAATGCAGTTATAAAATCTAATTTATATATAGTTAATTAATTTGTTAGTGAGGAAGGTGCTCACAAAGGTGAAAACGCCTAGGGCCCGTGGAAGTCACAATGCTGCCCTGTTAGTGAGGTCCTAATAGAAACCTTCCTGGTTGCCCTGGGCATTTTCTGTTAAGTTAAGATTGCATAAAGTTGATACCTGGTTGGGGAGAAGGAAACAGAAGCAACTATCAGGATATAATATTCTAAATGACTTGAGTCTTGCAAAAGAAATTCAGGCAACAAAAAGGGTTTTTTTCAACTTACATATTAAGAACAAAGGAGAACAAGACAGAGACAGGCTCCTTGCTTATAAAATGTTGATTGCCAACCAAGAGAAAGAGATGTAATGGAGCTGTCTGTCATTGCCTGCCCTACCTAGAGTTGGTTTGATGTTCATTCCTTCATTTACTCATCCATCCCAGTTGCTTTAAAGAGTCTTATTCTATACTACAGGACCCTACCTGTTCCACAGTCAAATGGACCATGTCTGGACATCTGATCTATGAGTAGCTAGTCCACAAGCTTGTCCACAAACTTGGACTTGTGTGCTGTGGCCTAGGGTTGGGCCAGTCATATACCTTCTCTCTCAAATATTTGAACCAAAAAGCACAGAGGAAGTTCCCATTTAGCAATGAGACAGGAGTAAAGAGACATAGGAAGTAACCGAATCACATTAGAGGCAAGAGTGGTAGGGTGCTCCCTAGACAGTGGCTGAGCTCTCCAGAGCTACCTCTAATCCCAGCCTGGTCTCCAGCTGCAGTACCAGGAAGTGCTGTTCCCCTTCTGGAGTCTTAAGTAAACCCCCTTTCTTTAGCTGGATCTCCTGTTTCTTGCAAATAGTCTTAATGAGAGTGGAACTATTCAACTCATGTTTTGTTCCTGTCTTCTATGTCAAGAGAGATTTCCCTGTGATCTATAAAAGAAATCAAAAATAGAAGTACTGTGAGGAAATGTCACGTTCCTTAATATAAAATTTTCTCCAATGGAAAGAGAATTACCTGATGAACTTAAGCCCAAGCAAAGCAAAGAGATGAGATATCTACTAGGATGCTTTTGGCGGCAGTAAGCCCAACCTAAAAGGGCTTAAACTCTAAGGCAGGGGGGATATTATGCTACATAAGATAGTGTCATTCCTTTTGCTCAAAACCTCGTGCTTCCTCTCTGACTTTCTCTGCTATGCTTTCAGCCTAGCTCTTTGTTCCCTACTGTTTTCAATCCTATTTTCTTCATAGATTAGGGAATCATAGCTAATAATAGGTGTTATACCAAATGCTTCTTTCTTACTAGGACTCTGAAGAAATATGCACAGAGATGATAAAACAGTGCTGAATGCCAAATTGATTACTTTTTTTTGAGTCCAAATTTCAGTGTAGCATTCTAGAGTGTTAGAGTTGACAACATGAGAGACCCTCTTCTTTGAGTAAGTTGGCCTGAATGTCCTAGAATGAAAAATGTTAATATTCTTGCCCTTTTATTTCTTCTGCATTCCAAATGTGAACCTTGGAGCTGACCATTATATGCAAGAAAAGGCCAATATTTGAATATGCTAATTATTGAGAAGAGCCACAGAAAGCGAGAGTATGAGGGCAAGAATGTGTCCCCTAAAGTCAGAGGCCATCACAGAGCTGAGCCTGGATTTCCTGATTTCAGTATTCTGGATGGTCTTCTGTTGGTCTTAAGGAAACTCTTCTAAGACACTAAAATTGGATTATTATACGTCCAGATCTTTTGTCCCCTTTTTCTAAAATTCAAGAGGGTGAAAGGTTACCCTAAAACATTACTGTACCAACGCTTAATATATTCCTTAATATATTTAGAACAAATAGGCAGAACCTTTGCACTGGATGTTCTTTCTGCATGAAACACTGTTCCCCAGATACCCATCATAATATTATTCAGATCTTTGCTCAATTAGCTCCTTAATGAGGCCTATCCAACACTATTTAAAATTGCAATTTGCCACTGAACTCCACATTTCCAATGCCCCTTACCCTGTTTTTTTCATAGCATATATCACTTTCTAACATATATATTTACTTATTATGTTTACTGTTTATTATATGTATTTCTCCACAATGTAGACTTGAAGACAGGAATCTTTGTTTTGCTAATCGATGTATCTCACGTGTCTAGAACAGTGCTTTGAAACGAATGAATGAATGAATGAATAATATAATGAGTGAATGAATGAATGAGTGAATGAATAAATCCTAGTACTAAATAACTATTGAAGTAGTCCTCCAACTAAGTCCAATTTCTTTTATATATAGTAATAACCCACATTTTTTCCTGTCAACATTCTGAATTATCTTAACATTTTTGTCCATCAGAGTAAATTAACTTGGAGAAGCTATGGCTAATTAATAAAGCAGGAGTCAGTTGGTATAGCCAAGTGCCAAAGAATACTCTTTTGATATTGTCCCCATACTTGAATTTTTTTCTGTGTTTGTTTATGTTCTAATTAAAAGCCACCTTTTACGAATTATCTGAGGCAATGCCCATTTATTAGAATGCTTACATTCTATTAGGTATATTCTGTAATATTAACTACTGTTTACTGAGTGTTTTCTATATGCCGGTTAACTACTGTATATTACGCTACTGTATATTACATCTACAGCTAAAATTCTATACAGCTATATATAAATAATATGGAATTATACTAGCATACATGCCACACATAGGTAATAGTCATAGTTAACATTTCCTGAGGATTCACTATATGTAACATAACAATTTTGCAAGTATTGCTTTCATATATTGATGAGGAAATTAAGGGTCAGAGAGGTTAAGTAACTTGTCCAGGGTTGCACAGCTGGTAACTCAATTTGAACCCATCATCAGTGCTCTTATTCACTAGTAAGAACAGCTATGTTATATGTTCTCCTTGGTATATGATGTCTTCTATTTTGTGTATAAATATACAGATCTAGGTAGAGCTAGATAGGCTTTTAGTAGATGCTTGAATGATAGAACCTTAAACCTGTTTAGGCCTAGTACAATACATTACTGATTTACTAGAAAAGAATTTTTTAGGCACTTTAATCTTAACAACAGTATGTTTATAATCACTACTCCTCTTTTAAAATTGAATCTTAAATTGACTTTTAAGTAATTATTATTGGGTTTTAGGTGATATTAATTAACAATATTTATTTTACTGGGGAGATGAATGGGAATTATTGCTGCTTAAAAACAAGAACATATTTTTTCTTTTTTTGCTCTTGAATTTAAGGCATTTTTCACACTATGTTTTGGTAGCATTCAGATTGCATTTATAGAATGTATTCCTCATTAGCTTGGTCATCTTTAGTAAGTGTAGCATTTCAGTTTTACTTGTGGTATCAGAAATAGTATTCTTACTTTGAGAATTTGTCTAGATGGGTTTTTATGTGTTTTAGTGGCTGAAATAAAAAAATAGGTTTTCCTTAAAATTTTTTTAGTGTCTTTCTTATGCCTCCTTGAATGCTTATATTTCTTATTAAACTATTTATGATTCCAAAGATATCAGAATACTGAAGGAAATCAACTTAAAAATATGTTATTTCTTCTTGCCTTTTTTAAGGGACATTGGTTAGATGTTTTCCTAATATGGTTAAAAAAAAGATTTCTGATGAGCAGAATATCATGTAAAATTCTCCTCTGTATGCTATCAATATCATTAAAAAATAGTTTTGACCGTTTTTATAAAACAGGAAAGCTATTAAAAAGTGCTAATAAAAATATATGCTTATTTTTGTGCTAATACTAATTACCGATAATGCATGCTTATGTTTGTCACTCATTACATGGCACTGCACCAATCAGTGGATGACTGAAACTCAAGCACTTACACATGTAAATTAACTATTAGATTTTTTTTTTTCTTTTTTACTTAAGTGAGTCATAATGGAAAGCAACTCTAGGTCATAAAAAAATCTTTTCTCTTTAATGCTAATGAAATGTCTCCACTCTCTGTATTAGCAGACTACCCTTATTGGTAATCTGTAGCCTTCTCTTTTGTTCCTGGTAGTAATGAAATGCTGGGTGCTGAAAAAGCCCACTCTTCAAGAATGTGTGGCCAATTGTCTTCTGTTCACTCATACTGTAAAATTACTGTTCCCCAGCAAAGCTGAACAAGTACAGGGGCAAGATCAAAAGAGTATTCTTTGGCACTTGGCTACACCAACTGACTCCTGCTTTATTAATTAGCCATAGCTTCTCCAAGTTAATTTACTCTGATGGAGCAAAAACCACTCTGTAGTACAAAAACAACAAATGATAATTCAACCTCAAGTCTTTATTGTTTGCTTTCTCCAACTTTCGGTTTAAACCTTTACAGTGTGTTACAAGCTAAATGTCCCTTAACTTTTCTGAACCTTATCGCTCAAAAGCTATTTTAACTTTTTTTCAAAAACATCAGTGAGATAGTCAAGTGACCATTTTTATTCTCTAAAATTGGGTAACTTTTAATTGATTTCATTCTTTTTAAAAGTCAGTATATTGGGAATCCAATTTAAAAGTGCAGTTGCTTCTAAAATTTGCAAGCTGTTCTGTCCTCTCATCAGAAATGCCACTGGTGTTTGAGCATTTGAAAAGGGCCTTCTCTCTGAGTGTTTTTGCGGAAGCAAAATTTGACAGTGATCCTAAGCTCCAAATTAATTAATATCAGTGCCACTTTTCTTTTCATTTTATTCACCACTTTGTAAGTTCCTGAAGTCTTTTTAATTTAATAACCTTTAGTAGTTTTTTAGTTAATGTTTTAAAGTTATACCCTGAGACAGAAAAAATATCTGTACATCCCCATATCTTGGTCTTGTTTTGTTTTGTTCAAGTGGGAAGGGAATAATTAAACTTTTGAGTAAGGTATCAGCTGTAAAGAGAAAAAAGAGTGATTGAGACCCTTCCAACCCAGGTTGTTGTTAGTTGCACTATAACCAGTTAGTTGGTAACGTAGTATTTTGGTCTAATTTGAAAGAATTACACTATTTTCCGTGTACTCTAACAATGTGATATATATTGTGAATATGAAACAAGTTTTATTGCAATTATTGAGAATGTGCTATTAAAGAAAGATCAAAACATTTTTACATTGGGAATATTTAAAACACATTATATTCATAAGGGAAGGTGCGATGATTAATATCAGCCTTCATTATTCATTTATTTTTGAAGTCAATTTCCTTCCCTCCTTAATTTCTGTATTTCTTTGGGATTTTTAAAAGCTTTTCAAAATATTGTCATTAAGCTTATTTGTTAATTGTGGATTTTTAAAAATAATTTTAGAAAAGATCAATAGTTATATGTATCTCTATACTTAGATGAAATAATTTTATCTTCATTATGCATCTCATTTTGTCAGAAGTTATTTTTTTAAAGCACTGTGTTAACCATTGTAAGTTTTTAAAAAAATTTTTTTCTTTTGTAGAAGGAATATTTGTGTTTGCGAAGGTTAGCAGAGACTGGCTGTGCTGGAAGTGACTGCAGTGCCTTTTGATTATTCATGGACAGTAATAGAAGGCACTTAAAAAGAACAATGAAATTGCTTATTTTTGTGATGGGCCATCTGTTGAATTGTTTTGTGCAACAATTGCACAATAGTATCTATGTCATATCATTCTATTTTCAACAGCAGCTGATTATGTTTCACTGGCTACTTGTCCTTATTTCTAAAGTTCCATGGCCATTTAAAGTCACCTTTTCAGAGACCTTTGTCAGAAGGTATTAGAAATCTCAAACAGCCAGTGTGTTTTTTTTTTTTTCTTTTTTTCTCTCTCATCTTTTTGGAGGCGGGGGAGGGGGGGGCTGTGGTGCGAGTAAGAAGAGGGAGTTGGTCATGTTAGTCCTAATTAATTAGACTTCCTAAGTGTTTAGGACAATTATCTGTGCCTTCCACCTGTAGTTCTATAAAAGAAGTTAACATAGAATCATTTGATAATTTGCGTAGAAATGATAGGCTTGCAAAAAAGAAGAGTCAAGTTTAAAAGACTGCAGTCTTTCATGCTTTTAATTATCGACTCTTTTTTTCATGATGATAATTAGAATTTTTCTCTTGGAATTCACTTCCATCATTTTTTGTTTTAAAGATGAGCCATTAGCAAGTTTGTTAGAGCAGAAGTGAAATTAAAATAAAACAAATGTGTTGTTGTCCATAGGTCACTGACATTGCTGATGCCATGATTCTGAAACAGCTTTTTGAAAATCTGTTCAAAAATGGGGTCGTCGTTGTGGCAACATCTAACAGGCCACCGGAAGGTAAAAACAAACATTGTGCTAACCTCATCTAATTAGGTGGAAACTAACAAGCTTTTAGAAATCCATAATTTTGTACTTATTTTATTATGTTAATAAATCTGGACTTTGCTTATCATTACTTTTGTAATTCACGTCCTCTGAAAAACCAATTGGTATTTGTATTTGAAAAATGTTTATATTCGTAGCAAGCTAAATCCAGGTGATCTCTCGTGTTTGAGGCACTTGCTGTTTTTTTCTGAGTACTAGATATGTCCTATGTACATATCAAAAAAAACGCAGGCCTTTCTAACTGCTTTTTATAGGCCATAAATGAAATGAAAGACGAAACTCCTAACTGAATTTTAGAAAAAGACTTAAAACTTACTTGTATCAGTCATTTCTAATACTTCATTTAATTTATCATTTCTAAAAAAGCACTCGTGGCTTATTAGGAAAATATTTAAGAAGTAAAATTAAGTCATATTTAGATAAAAACAAATTTATGATCTAGTATCTTTCAGCTCATTATGTGGACAGTTGAAGGTCTAAAGAACCAAAGATAACATTTTATGCATTCTTAATGTTAACATCTTTCTGCCTAGAATGCTGTTCTTCCATATAGGCTCTGTCCTTACCTCCTTCTGGTCTTTCTTTGCTGAAAAATTACTTTGCCAATGAAGCCTAGACTTAGCTCCCTGTTTGAATCTATGAACTTTCCCTTTTTTCTGGCACCGCATTTCCTTACCTGCTCTATTTTTTTCCTGTAGCACATATGGACCCAGCATATACTTAACTTATTTATTGTGTTTATAGTTTATTGTCTGTCCCCTTCCAGGAGGCAAACTTTTGTGAGGGCAGTGACTTTTATTTCTTCTGTTCACCTGTATTCTAAATACCTAAGACAGTGCTTAGCACACAGATAGATTTTAGTGAATAGTCTCAGAATGAGTGTTGAATGCATGCATATTTTAAAAGGATCTCTCTGGCTACAGTACTGAGAAGAGACTGTTGGGGATAGGGTTTCGAGGCTGGAAGTAAAAGACAATTTAATAGATGATTGCAGCAGTCGTGAGGGGAGATGAAGGAGCAGTAAAGGTAGTGAGAGTGGTCAGATTCTAGATATATTTTGTAGGCAAAACCAAAAGGATTTACCGATGGATATGAAAGAAAAGAAAAAGAGGAATTAAGAATGATGCAAAGGTTTTCGCCTGAGCAGTGGGAAGGGTGAAGTTGCTGTTTGCTGAGATGGTGAAGACTACAAGAGAAGCAGATGTGGGTAGGGAGATGAAGTAGGGGTTCTATAGTGATGAAGCAGATGCATATAAGAGTTTGGATTTTAGTGGAAAGGTTTGGACTGGAGATATAAATTTGAGAGTCATCAGTGCTAAAAGGAAGCCCGAAAGAGCAGCCAGTGAGGTAGGAGGAGAACCAAGGGAGTGTCAAGTGAAGAAAAAGAAAGCCATACAGAAAGGAGGGCTGCGATCACATTTGTTAAATGTTGCTAGGAGGTGAAAATGAGGTGGAGAACTGACCGTTGGAATTGGTAATGTAGAGTTCATTAGTGAACCTGAAAAGGGCATGTAATGGTGTGTGGGTTTTTTAAAAAAATATGCACGTCACATTGATGTGACATTTTGAATTTGTAATCTACTCATACATCTAGATCTTACTGTGTGAACTGCTGTCAAACTAGGTTGCTCTCATTCTTTATTGGTGTAGTTGATTTCTTTTTCTTTCTATTACATTTCAGCCTTTTAGTTTGCCTGCATTGTTCCATTGAGTCAATTTATTTGAAGTATGATTCCAACATGAGTTATTTTTAGCTATTTCTACTAACTGCGACATTTCTAAACTTGGTTATCATACTGTTATGTTTTCAGCCATTCATTAATTAAAGTGTTTAAATAAGATAGGACCATTAATTAAAGTGTTTAAATAAGTTTAGACCCCTGTAGTATACCCCTGGACGCTTTATTTTAGGGAGACATCAATTAATTAATTAATACTTTTGGATCCAGTTATTCAAACAACTATAGTTATATCTAATCTATTACATACGAATGATTTTGTCAGATGCACTTGTTAAAATCCATAATGTTATGTATAGCATCTTGTAATTTACTAGTGTAGCAACCATATGAGCCAAGCTTTTTAATATTAGATCATCTCTGTAGGTGAGAGTGAGGCTTGAGTCTTCTCTAGCTGACTGGTTGACTTAATAGTGTCATCAATATTATCCCTAGATAGTCAGTGAGAAGCTATGTTCATAAATAGCAAGGTACTAAAGCAAGATTGGAAGCCCTTCTGTTAAAAGGAAATTGCAGTTGGCTGTACAGGCTACTGCAGTGTGGTAAACTGAGGCGGGACAACCACAAGGAGAGGTTAAGGAACGTTCTAGAGTTCAGAGCTTTGTAGGAGTGAGCAGAGTTACAGGCCCACCAAATTAGCATGCAGAAAGCCAAGGTGGATCCACCCTCTGTAGAAGAATGAAAGTTCAAGATGCAGAATTGCAAAAATTGGGCATTAGCCACAAACTTAAAGCTTTTTCTAAATATAAACTGTAGGAGAGACACTTGTCATACACCAGGTTTCTTAGCCATGTCAGATGAACAGTCATAATAACATAAAGAAGATGGCATATCTGCATATATAAATATACATTTATATATAAATATTTTAAATATAATAGAAAGGAACTGACATATCTATCATTATACAAGTAATACAAATGTTTATATATAGAAATAGAAATATTTTTATGGGTGAAGAAATAGACTCGGAGATTAAGTATGGATGTAGGAAAAGGCAAAACTATAGGGCAAAGAATGGATCAGTGGTTGTCAGGGGCTGAAATGAGGAAGTGTTTCAAAGGGGTAACATGAGAGAATTTTTTGAGGGTGATGGAACTGTTTTGTAGTGGTGGTGGTTACCTGTGTTAAAATTCATAAAACTGTACACCCCCTGAAAGTTAATTTTACTATATTTAGATAAAAAAATGAATCACATGGATAGCGAGTGGCAGAGCAGAGGCTAGATTCTAGGTTTTGTGACTCATTTAAGACATTGCCCCTTATAGTTCCTCCTTGTTGATCATCCTTGATCTTTGCCCTGTCTCACATTAAGAGTGTCCCCTTTCCCAACCATGAAAATGCATTCAGCTTTTTCTTTAGGTCACAACTTTTAACCGAGAGCCCCCAGATAGGTGCTTATTATTTTTTTAGTAGTATCTACTGTTCTCAGAATTTTATAAGAGATGGAGAAGAACCTTCCTGGCAGAAGATTGTGGCAAAGCCCAGTGGCTGGAGAGAGGATGGCACATTTGAGGAACTGAAAGATAGCCATTGTGGCTGGAGTGCAGCGAAGGAGGGTCAGTAGGATGCAGTGAGGTACAAAACGAATCTGGAGAAGTGAGAGCTAGACCATATAAAGCACTTATAATCATTCTGAATTTTATTCTAAGGGAAATGAGAAGCCATTGAAGTGCTTTAAGCAGTGACTAGTAGGATTGAAGTTGGAAATAATCACTCTAGTTAGGGTGTGGAGGTGAATTATGGGAATGGGGTGCAGTGATTTGGTAGGAGACATATTAGGAGGCTATTACAGTACACCTGGAAAAAATGATGCTAGCGTGGTATAAAGCAGTGATTCTCAACTGGGAGACTCTTCTGCCCACCAGGAGATATTTGACCACGTTTGAGACCTTTTTAGTTGTTACAACTTGGGGCAAGAGAAGGGTCCTGCTACTGGCATCTAGTAGGTAGGCAGAGGCCAGGAATTCTGCCAAAACATCCTATAACATACACGGCTTCCCCCCACAACAAAGACTTATCTAGTCAAAAAAGTCAGTAGTACCAGTGATGCCAATGGATACGGAGAGGATAGATTTGAAAGATATTTAGGAGATAAAATGGATAGCACCTGGTTATAGGTTGGAAATTGAGGAAGTGGGAGAAGACAGTTTCTAAACTTCTGGTTTGTACAGGTGGGTGGGTAGTGGTACCTGTCATTCAATATACACAGAAAAATCTGGACCTTATCTATTGCTCAGTGTAGAAGTGCATGTATTTTTCCTTTCTCCACTAAGTCTTTAGCCTCTCTGTTTAAATTTCTTCCAATTCATTTATCTCATTCTCTTCATTTCTAGTTACAATGTATTAATTTAATGGGCAAGAATGGGAGCTATTGTTGGTGGAGGTTACAATCATACTCCAATCTTTTATCAACTAATAATTGTCAACTTATAAACAGATGAATTATTAATTTTAATAGAAAATGATCAGAAGCATTAATAAATCGAAAATTTTAATAGACAATAATTGATAGGCAAGTAAAAGCAACATCAGAATTTAGGAATGTAGGAGAGAAAATAGTTGTGGTAGGGACTGGTCTGGGAAAGTCCTGTAGAAGAGAAGAAAGGGAAGCAATACTTGAGGGGGTGAAGGGAATAAGCTACCAGAGTGACTGCCTGTCTGCCACTGTTTTTTCTAGCCCTAAATTTTAATTCCTACCTTGCTTGGGTCGGTCCATGGCCTCATCCTCTATACACCATGTAGTTGTTAAAACCCAAGCTGGTGTCAGCTCATGATTATTCCTTTAACTTTTAGCTTCCTGTTTGTTTGGTTGTTTTTAGTACAACATTTGTAGTACTACTACTTTGTATTTTCTAGGGTAATTTGGTTAAGGCTCTTTAATTTGGATCAGATCCAGAGGAATAGGAAGTTGCTGGGAAATTTTCAGATAAAACATATCTAGAGAGAGTTTGTATTCAATTTCTTGTTTTTTAAAACCTCAAGTAAGTGATTTATTTAGCAATTTTGTCATTTAGGTAAATACTTCATATGACCTATGTACAAATAAACACATTTTTACTTTTGAAAGATTATATTGTAAAGTCATTAGAAGAACCAGAAACAAAAATCCACAATTAAAAACTCACATATATGCTACTTACTTTTCAGGTTCTAAAATAAAGTTTTGTTAATTCTATGATATTCTAGTAGGGAAAAATAATATTATAAGTT